TGCCTCAGTTGGAAAGTTTCTACTTGACAGATAAATCTTGGCATGTTATTTGGAGAAATCCATTTTACATCACTGCAAGTAAAAGTTATCTACCTTTATATTGTAACTTTCCAGGGAAGATAACTTTATTTATTTTGTAATTTGCGTCGTTAGTGTTTATATGGTGGCCACAGATCCTTATTTACCCCATAAACATTTCCAAATTTCCAATACTGCACACACACCCATACAAGCATGTCATGATTTTTTTATGTACCAGTAGTCTTATTTGCAGAGAAACTTTTTTTTTTAATAAATATGGGTGAGATAAGATCAATCACAGCGACTTGCTTACTGCGTCCCCTCACATCCTCGAGGAGAAATGGTCTTGTGCATGCTCTCGCATGCGTTTAATAGGCGTTCCCTCATGGGAGCCAGTGCAGGTTGTGCAGGGAGCCAGGGTTGTGCAGGTGTGTTCTTTTGGAGTGGAGAGGGTGGGTGTTTATGGAAAAATCAGGATCTGATATAATCAACTTTCTGATAAGAATTAAACAAATGCTTTCAACAAAAGGACATAATAAATAGTTACATACATTGTTTGGTAAATTTATGCTACTCAGTAATGTGTAGAAATTGTTATATTAGAAAAACATTTTGTTCCTTAAAGATAATATTTTACCTGGTAAGTATTTAGCACTATATAATTCTAGCTTTGTTCAACATTTTCTTAATTTTAAATATTTTTTGGTTGTGAAATCAATATAAAAAAAGTTATATTTTTACAGGATAATATATACTAAATAGGAATTGTGTAATTCAAAATTAATTGCGTATAAAAAGAATAAATGAAGAAAATGTTATAAATGAGTAAAATAAGAAAATTAACCGATTTGACTAAAGTCACTGTGAGGCAGGTAAACCAAGGAACACTGCATTCCTTTGTTTTGGTAACATCATGTTTTGGGTCAGCTTTGCCTGCAAGAAGTGTGTAAAATAATGAGAAAAAGACACTACCTCATAATTCTTGAACTGTTTCCCATCTCAGCAGCTATAGTTGAAACTAGGACACATTTGAATGTGTCACTTAGGTAATGTTCTCTAACTGGCATTATAATTATAGGGGATAAAAAAAAAACAATCCTTAAGTTTCTGGAATAATCAACTGTTCGTGGAAATGTGCACATGCCAGTTAAAAAATCTGCTAAACTGTACTAAATTCTGTCTAAACGAATAGTCCAATATGCAAGCATTATAACTGAATACACTGTATAACTCCTTTGTGTATGATCAAGGTTTCCCTCACAAAGGCCCAGCTAAACGGATATTAGTTAAGGTGTGAATTTCAGCTTGGAAGAGTTGAATTACTTTACTTCACTTCATCTTTTTAATTGCTTTCTGTTTTTTTCTTAAGGAGTTCAAACACATACACAAGGGCAAACTTATATAGACTTCTTAGCTATAATATGTTTAAACAAAGTTCTCACCAGAACTTTAGTTACATATCAGCGTAACACAATATTTCGCTTAAACTTTTTAATTTTATTGACTTCACTAAATCAAATGCAATTATAACTGATGACAGAGATTTCACTGATCAATAAAATGAAAGGGTACATCCACTAATCATGACAAGGTACGAATATTTTTTCCCACTGCAGTGCTTCTCTTCAGATGGCAATGATCACATTGAAATGAAAAAGGCACATTAATTAGAGTTGCATAGTGTATCAACTAGGTTCAACATCAGGATAAACATATTCAGTCTGTGCTTAAATCTAACTCTTTGGCAGATTTGAATGAATTCATTCAAATGAATCAGCATTGTCTGTTGTATTGACAAAACATGAAACAGACTCATTTGGGGATGAAGAAGAGGGAACAAGCCTAAAAAATATCCTACAGACAGATGTCCATCAGTAAAAGATAAGAAGAAAAAGGCTCCAGTATTAATTTTCTAGCTCATCCTTAAATGTCAGGTTCATTAAATAACTCACAAAACAGAAACATTTTACGTTGGCAATAAATCAGCATCATGCACATCTTGATTATTAGATCGGGATAGTTTATTTGTAACAGGTACAGTTATGTACTCTAAATGTGTAGTAGGACCTGCAGCCAATAAAAAAAGAGAGCAGTAGATTGAATTTGTTTGAATAAATTCAAGTTTCTGTTTTTTCTGGCATGCACTAATGATTGTTATAAATATGACATAGCTTTTGAAGTTATGTTTCATTAAGGAAACATCATTAATCATGTCTGAATTTTTGCTATCATAGCATTTTATTTAACAGATACCTAGCATATCAAATCTATTTGATCAGGTATTGAGGTGAATATTATCAATTGCAGCCGAGAACCAGAGGTTTTTTAGTATGGAGCTTTCTAAAAGTTTTAAAACATATTGGACGATGTTGAATTAAAAGTTCAAATTAAGAGTGATTAAGTTTTAATTGAAGGTTAGAAAACAGGTCCTAAAAGAAACAACTTTTGAATAGTCAGCTTGTTTATTTGAATAGAAACAGAAATCACTTTTTGTTGTTTTTTTTATATTCTAATCTTTCTGAACAAGTTAAAGGTAATTGCTTCATGTTTAAGTCCTCTTGACCAGTATGTGGCACTCTTGCCTGCTCCCGTTTGCCAGCCCGTTGCAAGGTCCACTAATGTTTATGATAATCCATGTAAAACAAATATTAATTCGAAAAGATAATCTAAAAATTGGCCATTTTCAATAACATCTTTAAATTAGTATTGATCCAGTAAAACAATGATTTACTTTCATGGTAACATTTTAGCAATTATTACGTAACAAAATTAAAGGTTTGTTGATTGATGACAAAGTGAAAATTTGGTTTCTCATTGCTTCCAATCTAGCCCCTTTGATTCCATAGGCTGCCACCAAAGCTCAAACGTTTAACTAATGTTCATCCTTGTGTTTTTTTTGTTGTTGTTGTTGTTTGTTTATTTGCTATTTTTAGGCTTAATCTGAAACATTTTACACAGAGAACTCACCTCTATTAGGATCTTGCAATGCCTTATCTCCATCTCATGTGACTTCAACCTACCATTCCTAATGGTGCAGAATACATTTGTTTTGACTTTGATAATGTAATCAGAACTTAATATTTACATGTTTTGGACCTGTCAAAATGTATAAAACATGTAAATGAACACTCAATAATCTCATTCATCACTACTGTATACATTCTGTATATATTTTCTTTGAAAAATGATAATATGTACTGGCAAAGGACTGGCAGCCTGAGTGGTGGTTCCTTTCAATGAGAAGGAGGAGTGGGAGAGTCTCTGCAAAGACTGCTTCCCCGCGACCCAGTCCTGCAAAAGAACAGGTATACAATGTAGGATATTTTCATACTCTGCTAAAGCTCAAACTGTACAACAAAACTGTTGGGTTTAAAAGAACACAGCTCACCATATCTGTTTTTACCCTGTATGGCCCAATGCTCTGATGCGATCTGACTGCTCACACCGTACGTCAATAAACCACAGGTCAGACTCAGCCCCATAGAGAGATTACACTGGTCAGTCTAATCCATCCGGAAGTAAAGTCAGAGAAAGTTGAGGCAAAATTGCTCATAGAAGATGCTCGTACCTGTACTTCAACAGGAAGATGCCCTTATTATCTCCTTAAAATGGAAGACTGAATAGTAAACATGTTTTATTTTCATCTGACTATATGATTCCCGGTCAGGATTTGGTTGTGAGAGGCTAATTGCCCCTCCTAACCCCTTTTATACCACACAACACAGATGAGATTTAGGATGAGGCTGAAATTCTGCCCAGTCCAAAAAATTTTCACAACTGAAAAACCGGTCCAAAAAGCAACCTCAAAGCAATAAAAAATAGTCCATTAACAATCAGACACCAGAGGTAAAAAAAACAAACAAATATAAAAGATAAAGAAGGTAGACAGAGAGAACCAACATGCATTTTAATCGCTATTAAAGCTATTTTCTTATTCAGCAAAGAGTTTATACCTCAAAACATTATAATCATTAGGCTGGAAATTGGGCTTTACTTACTAAGAGATCTAGTTTCTGTACTCTGTTTATGCACTTTTATAAAAATGTATTCCTTGTTAGATAGCGGTGCCCTATTTTCACTTCTGTAAGCCACTGCAGGGTTGGAGGCAGCTTCACTCTCAGCAGTGCTTTTAAAGAAAAGGTGAAGTGGAGTGTGTTTATGTCAGACATGATTTTTGGTGCAATATCAAGATGTCTCTATATCCTCCCTACCCAGTTACAACTAAATCATAGGATTATCATAGATTTAACAGTCTAAGGGTTGACTGAGTGTAAAGAATATTGTCTTGTGTAATTTATAACCGAATTATGTAATTGCTTGCACCACTGATGGAGATTGTTGATTAATACTTCCAATACCGAGGAGAAAACACTTGAATCTGACGTAAACATGACGTAACTCTTTTTTTTTTTAAACAAACTGCTTTCTAGTGAGCTGATCTGTAAATAACATTCATACCTTCAGTAAAGAAGAAATAACTATAATATCTGCCACTGCTGACTGGTGAGAAAAATAAAATATGCAGTAAATAATTAATCAAATGTCCAAATGTGCATGAACAGAACATATTTTTGTGTAGTGTGGGCAAATGTAAACACCCAACTGATTGTGCAAAAGGCTATGGGGAAAAAATGAAATCAGGAATCTTATTAATCACCCCTGTATTGTGACAGGTAATACCTCTTATTGCCTAGCAACCCGAGTCCTCCAGGGCAACAGTCGGAATGATGAGATTTACAATGGGATCTCTTCTCCAAAGTTATGGGAATGTCCATTGTGCTACTGCAGACACTTCACACACACACATGCAATGTTCTTTTGTACTGTTCAGCTGCTTATGATTTTTTTTTACAGATATCAATTATTCAAACAAATACTATACATGGGATGCTAAATAAAGCAAACACCTCATGAATCTTTTCTCTGCTTTTTTTTTTTTTTGCAGACTCAGTAACTCGGTAGCACTTGTGTTATCTTACCTTAAACAGGCGCAGTATATTGGCCACCATGATGGAAACAGAGCTTGATGAGGCTCCAATGACGCCCACTACCCTCTCAGGTTTGGTGATAATTGGCGCCCCCCCTCCAAGACATTTGACATCTGTCCCATCCTTCTCAATCAGAGCCTGGACGAAAGTGAGTGACTGCTCCAAGGCATGAGTATCTCTAGAACAGGTGTCCAGGATTCTTGCTCCCAGTGTGATGTTCGGCAGGAGGTTATTATCATTATTTATACGGTCAAGGGCAAAGAGCATGGCTTCAAGTCGGTGAATGCCCTTCTCCTTCTTAAGCTCCCCGCAGGGTTTCCCATCGTGGCCCCTGGCATGCACCGGGAATAGCCCACCTAAGGAGATATCTCCATCAATGCGGATGGAGTTCAAGTGCGTTTGTCCTGGCCCCTTGGGTTTTGCAGCCTGAGAGACATTGAGGAAGCTGTACAGAAGAAGCAGTAGCAGCAGCAGAATGTGGATGTTTCTCTGACAGCCATTCCGATTAGGTTTAGACGTTGGAGGATAAAACATGATCACTGTCCGAGCACACATCCACACCAGCAGTCAGGAAAAATCAATAGCCAGGTATTATTTTATGATGGCCAGAGGTTTAACTGCAATGCCTCTTGAAACAGGTTTCACAAAAAGGCATTTCTCTTGTGTCTATCTGCTTTCACAGGCATTCAATTAGAGTAGAATATAAGCCTTACTCTTTCTCAGAATGTAGTCCTGTTTCTATCTTTTCTTTTACTCACTCCATCCTCTCACCACTGTTGTGGGCAGCTGTTTTTGTGTTCCCTGTTATTCTTTGGAGTTCCTTCACTTGGGGCATTAGGAAGAACAAAGGTGAACGATAAGCTTTCTTCCTCCTCTGTCTCTCCCTCCCTGTCTTTGTGTCTCTTTCCTCTCCACCTCAATCAGAAGTTTTTAATCTTCCCCATTCCCCTGGGCAGGGATTTGGTGTATGTCAGAGCCCCCGGGCTGTCTCAGGTCCACAGGCTTCAGAGCAAATTCCTGAAAGATGAAAAAGAGAAGCGAAATGAGACAGTGCTCAGAGAAAACAGAAAAGGGCAAAGGAATTTGAATTAGTACGAGCTCTTCAATTGTAGTTTTTTTACTTAACCTTTTAACAGCAGCATTACGAATAAGGAGAAGACAGTTGTGTTTGCAAAAAAATGTCTTTCTTTTTTGTATTTTTCTAGATTGTGCCTACATCAGAGATTCCGACCCCTTATACTTTATATCTAACAAGCAACCTTTTCAGAAGTTGCTTTCAGAATTCTGCAAAATTCTGTGACTCTTCTTTTTCTCTTAATTTTTACATCAAAGGAAGCAATGAGAAACATGACTTTTCTGTTCTTCCAGAAACAAAACCTGTGTTTTGAGCAGCAGCAGCACACTGTGTTAATATTTCTGCCTCAAAGCCTGTAAAATTATTTGTCATATTATGGGTTTAAAGAAAAGCTCAAAAGGTTTAAATAAACTACAATGAAGTTAACATCTCTGTGTGCAAAACATTACCTTGGGATGTCTGTGTATGGCAGCGGGAAAAGGAAATTACACATATTATAATGTATGGGACTCATATGTGGTCTCCAAATCTCTCAGGCATTTCAAAATATTTGCCCCACAGTGAATAAGAATACAAGAAAAGAGCAAAGGTAGGCTGCTCTAAACCTCTTATGGTGTTATTAAAAATAAAAAGTAGCTTTCATTTCCAAAAGACCCCTGAAATTACTTATTTCCACACATTGATCTGCTTCCTACAAAAAAAAAAAAAAACTGCATTTACACAAAAATACACACCACTACTGTGCTGGTGTGGTAAATTGTTGTGTCTTCTGTTTTTATTTTGTTTAAACAGAGCAAATTATTATTCCTTAACCATCAGAATATTTACAAAAATGCATGTTAGGCAGTTGGTAATCTAATCTGCCCCGTAATTTTACATGACATAATTAAAAACTAAGGAATTCGACACATCAATCCCATAAAGACTTTTAAAGGATATGTCTGATATGTATTTGAACTCGCATTACAGATTATGCAGTAGACAGATTATGCACAGAGCTAGGATGGCTTTCAAAACACAATGAACAAAAGAGACATAGCCTGTAACTCTGTGGGATTACTGCCTCCAAATGTATAACATGTCAGTGAGGTATTTCCTACCCTGTTCTTACAATCTTTACATTGGCTGTCCAAATGAAATCAATGCTTTAAATACAAGTAGCATTTTTCCTCAGCATGTTTCTGTCTAAATCCAATACTGCAGACACTGAAAGATCGTTAAATTGTGCCTCTTTGCTCCTGACAATTGTGATGTGAGCAGAACAAGTTCAGATGTCAACAATATTTTCTGACAGCTGATTTATTCAGCCACTGCAACCCAAAAACCAATACAGTCTTAAAATGATCTCCTGTCTAGGCTAAGGTTGAACACAAGCTGCTTGGAAAACAGATGTTTTAGAGGAGTTCTTCATTAGCTCACTTCTCTTTTTTTCTTGCAATTTTCATGTGTTGCACCTTGGGTCTTAATTGTGGACAGTTTTACCTTAAATAATGTTGATAAACAATATCACCCTCAAAAACAAATCTCTAAATATGTGCTAAAACTGAGGCTCGAAGCAAAGCTACTTTTACAACCTTATGCCAATACATGATGTCATTTAGAATTGTTAATTTTATTTCTAACTGCTTTATAAAAGTGTCACATCCAATAACACTTTGGTTAACATTTTAAAGCATTTGAAGAAATAAATGTTGCTGCTGCTTTTATTTTTCCAGTGTGTATGTTTAATAGTGATAGGTAGTTGATAATTATCATTGATGATGTGTGAAGTTTAGTACACCTTAATATTAGCTGCCTGTTGCCTGTCCGAACTGATGTTTTCCCCTAGAAGATTATCTAATGAAGACAGTTCCTCTTTCTGGATATACAGTTATAATCTTAATTCTTTTTGTGGCAAATATTTGGGAATGGAATTAGAGCAGTGTCCTTTAGCTAAGAACAAAGTGTAATATTTTCATAAGGCTGGAGCCATGGATGTCTCCTCATCTGCTAACGTATATGATGAAAAATTTGATGATGTGCCAAATTGGAATTATATAAAATGCTTCTTTAACTGTTAATTGTGGCCACTTCCCGAGAAGTGAGCCCGGGAGTAAGCAGCTGCCTTCTATAACTCTAAGCAACGTCTCTGATCTGAAAAATATTACAATTTCTATCAAAATATGTTGTCATTTCTAATGGTTATTTAATACATATAAGTTATGAAGTGTTATTTAAAGAGTCTGTCCCGAGTGATTTCTTTCAGAGATGGCAAAAGTACTCACTTTCCGTACTTGAGTAAAAGTACAGATACTTGTGTTAAAGAATACTCTGGTAAAAGTGGAAGTACTGATTAAACTTCTTTACTCAAGTAAAAGTAACAAAGTACAGGCTTGTAAATTCACTTAAAGTATAAAAGTAAAAGTAGAAACCACTTTTTTCATGCCGTTGCCTACATTTCAAATGGATGTCTGCCAATAGGACTAGATATCCGTTGTGTTCATTTTCAATCATCTCGTCGTCCATGCTACTATGCTAACGCCACCGCCACCAAGCTGCAATGATTTGCAGCGAATGAATACCGCCGAATCTGTCGATTCATCTTGTAGTGGTGCGTCAAATGCAACGTAGATTCCCATCCAATTAGATTGAATTTGGTATTGATGACGTGAAAAATAATAACGGTAACTCCATTGAAATGATTCAAAACTAAAGTAACGAGCCAATTTTTTAAAATGTAAGGAGTACAAAGTACAGATATGTGTGTAAAAATGTAAGGAGTAGAAGTAAAAAGTCGCCATAAAAATAAGTAGTAAAGTAAAGTAAAAATATCAGAAAAATCTACTTGAGTACAGTAACGAAGTATTTGTACTTCGTTACTTCCCATCTCTGATTTCTTTTCAGGTAAAAGAACCGGAGAGAGAAAGCGTCAAGGTGCAGACAGAGAACCTATCATTAATAGTTTTGTTAGTTCTGTTCCTGGAGTGACTGATATCACCAGTAGGGGAGTGATGGCCTAGTGGTCAGAGCAGTGCACTTGTGCTCTGAGAAGGTTGCAAGTACACGTTTCAATCCCCACAGCCTCCACTCTGGGTTCCTGAGAAAAACCCTTAACCTCACACTGCTCCCCGATCGCCACACAATGGCAGCCCACTGCTTCCCAAGAGGATGGTTTAAATGCAGAGGTAAATTTCTTCAATTAAGTTTAATCATCATCAGTCATCATCAATAAAAACTGAAGAAATGATTTCAGTGTCACAAACTGAAGGAACTGTTGAATCTCTTCATGTTTGCATAATTATTGTGTTTGAATATGTTCTTTCCTTTAGCTTAACACCTCATATACACAAGGAGTTGTATCTAAAATAGAAACCATACTGTGCAGTAGTACCACTGATGCCATAAGCAGATTGACAGAAAGAGTTAAAGAATAACATATAAATTCAATGTAGTTGAAGTTAGTTCAATTCAAATCTCTTGCCATATGTGGACATGAGCCTGGAAACTTTAAATAATACTTCAGGCAAGATATTTGGTTATCTCTTTAATATCATTTTAGATGATAAATTAGCCTTAACACAAATTCAATCCAACTCAATTCAAAAATGTTAGTTGTGAAAGGTGCTGATAGTTGTAGACAGGAAGGATCTTCTGTATCGGTCAGTCTTACACCAGATCTGTAGAAGCCTCTGACTGAAAACACTTTGTTGCAGTTTAAAACTTTTCTGAAGAGGATGTTCACTTTTGTCCATAATCTTCTCGACTTTATAAAGAATTCTTTGTTAAATTATGTCCAGAAGTTCTACATCTGTTCCTAGAACAGAGCAGACCATCTTCATTTTAAGTAATTTGCTCTGATATTGTTACCCCAGCAGATGATGGAGCAAGATATCAAAATTTCCACAATAGATATATAGATATAAGCTTCTTTAAGATGTATAATCTGCCCTGTCCCAGTTGTGTGTCTCCAGTTTAGTTTGTTGTCAAAGTAAATACTTCAGAGCTCAGCTGCTCGTGTCATCACAAGAACCCTCTCCTTTCATCATATTTCCCCCCTGTCCTTTACCAATTCCATTGGCTCCCAGTTCAATTCAGAATATAATTTAAAATCCTTCTATATAGTTTCAAAGTGATCCATAACCTTGCTCCTCCATTTCTGTCAGACCTCCTTAACATAGCTACCTCCTCCAGCTCCCTTAGATCCTCCTCCTCCATCCACCTCAGTGTACCCCCAGCTCGACTTGTCACCATGAGGAGCAGAGTCTTCAGCTGCTCTGCTCCCCAGCTCTGGAACTCACTTCCTCCCGACCTCTGCAGTATTGACTCTCTCCCGTTATTCAAAGCCAGACTCAAAACCCATCTGTTCCAGCTCACTTATTTGTGAATACACTGCTTTTGTCCCTATCCATGACTGTTTTTATGTTCCTGTATTAGTATTTTGTATTTTCATTTTTATTTTCTGTAAAGTGACCTTGAGTGTCCAGAAAGGCGCTGTTAAATAAAATGTATTATTGTTATTATTAATACCAAGGTATTTATACTCCTCCATCACCTCAAATTCAACTTATTCCTGTTTCTTCTGAAATCTACAATAATCATATTTGTTTTGTTGACATCCAGGATCAGAAGATTGCTTCGACATTATGCCACAGAGTGGTTCACCAACTACCTAAACTCAACATCTTTGATGCCCTCACCTGAGTCTTCTGGAATTTATCATAATGTAAGTCTGGCTGAATTGTGTAAATGCACTGGAGAAAGCAAAGAACATGATCCTCACAGAGCTGTCTGCCTTGTCTAAATGAATGTGGGTTTGTTGCAGCAGGTGTATGATGGCATCTTCAATTCAACTCCACAGCGATAGGCAAACTGCAGGAGGTGCTGACAGCTGCTTGTTTGTTTGTTGTTGAGGTAAACCAGTAGAAGTCTCTTTAGGACCTAAATGATGTGGGATGTCCACTGG